GGATCAATTAGAGTCATGTCATACACAAGTCTTTTCCTGGAACTCTCGAGAAAGAAAATTTTTTTTTTCTTGCTGGGACTGCAAAAGTATAATCCTGGCACTTTGCCTGCCCCTCCCATCCAAAGCAAACCTGGAGCTGCTGGTGGCCATCTTTGCCACAGGGCAAGAACCTGCCATTAGCAAAGCCAACCCCAAAGAGAGCTGAGCTAGAGAATCTAGAGTAATGCAAAGGATGATTTTAGAGCTTCTTTTGGTGTGATCCGTCTCTCTCTCTTCATTCTTTCTCCACATGTGAAAATTGTGACTGGATGGAACTTGTGACTGATTAAATCATTACATTTTCATTGAGCACATCCCATGGCAGTTACTGAGGACAATCCTGGGAAATAAAGATGGAGGGACTGTGTGAGCAGTGTAACGATGTCACTGTTGGAAAAGGAGAGTGAAGTAGGGCAGGGGGCTGCCTGGTGCCGAAGAGAAAAGACTCCATAGCCAGACTGCCTGTGTCTACTATGCCATCTATGATTTACCTCCCGAGTTCTTCACCTCTGCCCGTCAGTTTCTCCATCTGTAAAATTAGGAGGATAATGGCTGTAACCAAGTAACCAAAACCTGGGGGGATTACAAATGACAGACATTTCTTTTTTATGATTCCGAAGTCTGGGAAATCCGAGATGGAAGTGCCGAGTCGGTGTCTGGTGAGGGCCCGTCCTGTTCACAGAAGGCAGTCTCCCCACTCGGCCTTACCTCGGTGGAAGGTGTGAGGCAGTTCTTGAGGCCTCTTCTACGGGGGCCCAGGCACACTCATAAAGGCAGAGTGGTCTGGGCCAACGGCCCCAAATATCCCATCCCTTAATACTCTCATGTTGGTGATTAGGATTCAACATATGAATTTGGGAGACAGAAACATGCAGACCATAGCAAAGACTGCATGCGATAATAAATGTGAAAATGTTTGAAAAGTGTGCGCTACTGCTGCTATGACTGTTCACTAGCTCCCAGCTTGGTAAGAAAGACCCCTGAAATCAACTGTGAGTCCCCTTGTCCCTGGGGAAGGGGGAAGTTAGAGAAAAGGAAGTAACTTTTGAGCTGAGCTTTGAATGATGAGCTATCCAGACAGATAAGGGCAGCAATTGGATGATGAGTATAAATGAAACATTATGTGCAAAGATTCGGAGGCATGCAAGGGAAAGACATCCTGCAGCTGCAGTTATCTGGTTTTTCCTGGATTATCTGTTTTATGTAGGTGGCTTTTGAGATGTCACAATAAGCTGAAGCTAGATCCCAAAAGATGCAATGTGTCATTTTAAAGGGTGCTAGTGTTATTAAGTAGGATTACATCTTTTGCGAGTGACAAAATGCACGGAGGGCTTAAGTGACAACAGCGTTTAATGGATACCGTAACTGAAAAGTCCAAGGAATATCTGTGGCTGATGAGACCTATACATAGGTCTAGATCAAGATGTAAGCAATGACTCCAGGACCTCTTCTCTCTTTATCTCCATTTTCCTGCTTCATCTGTGGATGACCCTATTCTGAAATGGCATACGCCTTGTTATGGTAAGGTGGGAGCTGGACGTGCACAAGCTCCAGTCCAGTGAGATTTGCTTCTATAGAAGTTCCAGCAAAGTCTCAGTGTGTCTGATTGAGTCATCTGAACCAATTCTTTTGGTGAGTGAAATGCTGTGCTCTGTTTGATCAGGCCGGAGATGTAATATGGAAGAGTCAATTTCACCGAGAAGCTCATTGCTTAGTGTGTAAAAGAGGAGGCCCTTCAGAAGGAGGGTGGGTAAGGATGCCAGAAAAGGGCTATGGAATATATGCTTCATAGAAAAATCCACAGAACTTCAAGACATCTTTTATATTTAGGGATTGAGAGGACCAGAGCTGATTTTTAAACTGCAGGGTGATGTGACCACATTTGGGTTTTAGAAAGACAAATTCAGCTGAGTGGGGGATGGATTGGAAGGCTGTGGCTGGAGGTAATGGGTCAGTTACAAAGTTTTGTTTTTTTTTTAATAATCCAGGGAAGTAATGATGACAATATGGACAAAACCTTAGCATTGATAATGGAAAGTTGCAATCAGTCAGAAATGTGCATTTAGGGGCCAGGGCCATCAGAATTGTGTCCTTAGCAAAATTTAGTGGAGAAGAGAAAGATGTTGTAACAGCACCTTAGGTTTTTGGCTTCAGTGACAGCATGGCTAGTGATGCCATTTCCTGAACATGGAGCCACAGGAGGGCAGAGAGGGGAAGATTCAAAGCAAAAAATTGCTATTATCTAAAACCTCCTGATGTCCATGACCATTTTTGGAGAGTGGACCAGACGAAGTGCACGTTCAGAGTTTCTGAAGTCTAATTTTGACCATAAGCAATGTTATTCACAATGGTCAGTGTCCTGGGTGTGCCCTTGTGCACAAAAGGGCCCTTAAGACCCATCACATGTGCTGTAAATGTGTAGCATGGATCCACGTGTGATCGTGTGTACCTGGTTTGGTATTACCCTCATTGTTGTCTTTTTACGTTGATTTTGCTATTTTCTTTTTGATTCTTTGTGTATTTTGCATATCTTTTTTTTTTTTTTTTTGGTACCTGGGATGGAACTCCGGACCTTGCACTTGCAAGGCAGGCAGTGGAACCACTGAGTTAAATCCCCAGCCCTATTTTGTGTATCTTTATAAGAGGCTTTGAGTGCTTCTGGAGCAAAATAGTATGTAGTAAATTAATATTGGTTAGTACTACCTATTCCTTACAAGTTAGCTCTTAAAAAGAATGATTGAAATGAGACCTGAAGCTTTTTAAAAAATAAAATTGTTCTTTCTTTACACAAATATTCATAATGTGGACAAATTGTATCTATTACTTTTTAAGGGATAAAAGACTATGGAATTTCCTTAACATTTATTCCTTTAGTACCAAAACTTTCTTTCTCTGTGTCAGCTGTCTGCTTCCCATCCCCATGCCATTCAGTATCTCAAAATAAAATTTATTGGGCTGGGGATTTAGCTCAGTGGCACAGTGCCTGCTTGGCAAGCACAAGGTCCTGAGTTCGATCTCCAGTACCAAAAAATAAAACAATAAAATAAAATAAAATTTATCATCTCTGGGCATCAGACCAATGAAAGAAATTATAGTTTAAAAAGTTACTCAAAATGGGCTCTAGAATGAAGAAAGATTCAAAGGATAAGCAAAAATGTGTAGATCAGGATCAGAAGAAAATTTTACCTCCCCAATTGGCTAATTTCATTGGCTCCTTTTTCTACTGTGAGCCTGGGGTTCTAGTGTCAGCTGTTTGCCGTAGGCAGCAGACTGTCTGAATCAACCTTCGCTTTCTCCTCCTCATCGAATCCTTGCTGTTCTCTCAGTCTCCTGGGGTCATGACTCAGGGACCAGCAAGAGGACAGAGTGTGGGGGGCAGGAGAGGGGAAGGTAGGCCTGGAAGACGGGAGCCCAGCATTGCTCTTAGACCTACTGCTTGATGGTTGTGCATTTCACCTCTGATAGCGGAAGCGCGGAGCCCTGGATCAGAGACGCCTCACTTTCTCATAGATAAACGTCCCACTCCTCGGCCTGGCCTTGAGGCGCTCATGGACATGGTTCACTGATGCTTCTCCTTTCTCTTCTTACTTTCACGGTCAATCTGCCTTGTGATCTCCACCTCGTCCCTTAATCAAGTCCCATCATCGCCGAGGAGGGCCCAGTGGGTAGGCATTTCCCAGGCCCACCTCACTCACCGCGCATTTGGATGTAAACATTTTCTCTTCTTTCACAGAACTGTTTTTTTGCCTCTAATTTAGTGCTTAATATATTTTACCATGTTCTTTTCCAGAATTACAGGTATGTGTGTGTGTGTGTGTGTGTGTGTGTGTGTATCATTTTTGTGTCCTTAGAAATTTGATGGCAGGAGCTGTATCATGCTCATGTTGCTGTTCCTCTGTCTTCAAAGAATCCAGCCTGGTGATTCATACATAGGGAGCATTAAAATACTTATTAAATTAATGAGCAAAGAGAAGCAACAGAAGATAGAATAGAAGACAGTGAAAGGGAAAGATGAAAGGAATATGATTGCCGTAACCCAAGGGAGTGGTAAATGAAATAGAATCACAGAGAAGATTAACCAAGGACCTGCAGTTCAGTGGGCAGCAAGATGCCAACAGAGAAGAGGAGATGGACTAAAGGAGGTGCAAGACTTGAAAGAGAAGTTATTTACTCATGTTTGGTCTCTCTCCCTTCGCCTCCTGTTCCTTCCTGCCACCAGCTCACTCATAGATCAGTGGAAACAAGTCTTGCTTCATTGGAATTCAAGGTGTAGAACGTCCATAAGAAACATCATCTCACCCCAATATGAAGTAGTGGTGGTATTTTGAGAAAGCTACTAGGGCAAATGCATGTCCTGGAAAACCTTCAGGTTAAAGGATTTGGGAGAATGACCTACTGGCTATTTCTCTCCATATTGATTACCTATCCCGGGCTTCCTCTATTTCTAGGTTTTTCATCCCATTCCCAATTGAAAACTCATTGAGGTTGTGGGTGGGTAGGGAATGCAGTCACTGATTTCCTTCTTTCCTTTGCATTCATCCCACTCACTGAAATACACATACCTTGGGGTGCCCAGTGTGTTCCTGCACATGACGTCTTCTCTGGTCCCAGTCCTAGGCACTGCTGGTTCTGTGTGCCTCCAGCATTGAGTCAACCTGCCAATGCTGTGAGTGTGCTTACCCTATGCCAGTCTGCATGAAGGTGAGACTTTCGTCTAAACCCATTCTTTAATCTGATCAGTACCCCAGTGTCTGATCCACACAGGCTCAATAAAGAGTTGAGTGAATACGTACAACCATGAAGGAAGGAAGAGTAGAACAAAAAATTTTATCACTTCACTTTAATTTACTTGAAAATACTCAGCATCTCCTACATTTGTATTTTTAGGTATTATAGCCTTTTGAGAGTTGTCAGACTTTAGGAAAGTTATGGTTCTCTTAAATAATAGACAAAAAAATATAATTTTATAAAGATTTAATGAGGCAATATCATTGCCAGCTGGTTTTATCACTAAGGGCATTTAACAAAATTTTTGTTAACATTGTCTTTAATTTGTTTAAATATTTACAAACATTAGTTTCAAGAGAATTCACATCTGGCGTTATTATACATAGTTCATGTTGGTGTGGTTTCAGTTGTCTGGTGGTTTCTCTTGTTTCCATAAATTCAGCGGAACTGTCTGTAAATGCTCTGGCATCTGATTAGGAGCCTCTTCAGATCCCCTTCTTGCTCACTTCACTTCCCAGCTCCCCAGACTGAATCAAAGTGTCAGCCACCGTGACCTCGGCGCTCTCAGGTCTGCTGTGTGGATCACAGTTCCTCGCCTTCTGATATGGAATCCAGGTAATCTGTGTCAACGTAGAGGAGAAAGCCAGAGAATAAGCTGTCTGCCCAGCCCGGGTCTGAGAAGAGGCCGTTCTGGTCTGTGAAGAAGATCTCCAGCCAGACCTCGTCCTCTGGCTGCAGGTAGATGACCGTGGACCCGGAAGCCACGTCGTGGTTCCCTGTGTTGGCGTCAAAGGTCTTTATCTTGTACTGGCCGTTGTGCACCAGCCCGATGGCCAGGTGCTTGTTGGCCAAGGTGATGTCGTAGGAGAAGTAGTAGATCCCTGGGAAGGCGCAGATGAACTTCCCGGTCGTGGGGTTGTAGTGCTCCCCCTCGTTGAAGAGCACCTTGTTAAATATGATAGGCAGTCTTTCTTCCGGGTAGCTGGTGGTGATGCCCACAGAAAAGGCGGATTTGAGCATGATGCTCCCACATCTGCACACTCCAGGCAGCCCTGGGTCCCCTTGTTCTCCTCGGTCTCCCTTTGGGCCAGGAGGCCCCACTGGACCTACTTCTCCTTTCTGTCCCTCTGGTCCCATGGGACCTTTCTTTCCAGGCTCTCCTTGGTCCCCTTTCTCACCAGCAAGACCCAGAGGCCCTGTCTTGCCTCTCAGACCTTCGAAAAGAGGGAATGGTGGAATCAGTAGTTCCTCTGAAGAGTTAAAACCAGCATTCTGATGCACCCTGACTTGTCTGGCACACCCGAACTTTGCCTTTTCAGTCAATCTTCAACAGTATACTACTTAACAATAAACCCTTAAAAAAATGAAGCCACTAAAAATGAGAACAACATTTTCATCAGAATCTCAAGTCCGTTTTCTTGAGTATATGAGCCATTGTTTAGGCCCTGACTAATTTAAAAATACCCAACTTTCATTTTGGTGACAGATCACCTGCCACTCAGTAGTTCCAACTGTATATTTTTAAAGAATACTGCATGAAACGTAACAGATTAGTCAATTTTAATTGGGTTGCTAGATTCCTACTTTCAATCAACAACTTCATGAGACAGATATTTGTATAATCTCTTTCTCTGAGTATAAGCAGAAGTTGTGACTTGCTTTATCCACATCAAGGTACTGATCGCTACAGGAAGAATTCTATCAGCATGATACTGTTATTCCCCAGAGTGGGCCCGTTGGGGCAGACAAACTTTTAGGGGGTGCTTAGTCTCTTGCCCCTTTCTATTTCAGTTGGTGTTAATAATAAAAGTGTTAATCACAATTAAACTCACTTAAGTTTGTCAACAAGTTAATATGTATCAGGAACAGTGTTAAGTGTTTTATTTGCATGCATTATCTTACTTAAATTGCACAATGATTCTGCAAACTAAGAGTTATTATTGCTTCTATTGTAGATGGGGAAACTGAGCCATGGAGAAGTCATTTTTCTCAAGGGAATAGAGCTAATTATGATGGAGCTGGGCTCTGAGCTTGTGAGGCTGCCTGGCTCTGGAGCTTGAGTGTCCCAGGGGACAGTGGTTAGCGTGGCCCATGTGAGGGTTCCATATGCCACAAGAGCTAAAAATCGATGACTGTGACCACCACACAGTAGTTCCTTTTTAGAGGAGAAAAACTGAGTCCCAGAGAGGCAATGAAAGTTGGTTCTGTAGCACTGCTACTGGAACCCAAGCCTTTCAAGCCTAACCTGAGACCACAACACCTAGTGCTGTCTTCCCTTCATCAAAATGCCTCTTGCCTTTGGGGCTGGACTCAAGAACCCTACCTCTGACTTGCTGTGCTACTATGTAGTTGTATCCTTTTAGGCAAGAAGACCCTTAATTTCTCTGGGTCTCCTTATATTCAGAGAAGACACAGTAACTGTGAAAGGTCAAATTCAAAGTCATCATACAGGGCTATTTTAATTATATCCAAATCTTTATATCTTCAGTTTAACATTAGACTAATTTACAAAAATGGTGATCCTGGTCATAAGTAATAAGCAAAATTTGCTTAGTTTTTAAATAGCAATGACTTAATATCATAAAGATATGCTATTTAATTTTATGGCAAAATCCATTTTATAAATATTGCTTGTATAGTGATACTTTCTTCCCAAATACACAAATTATTGGTACTCTGTAATGCATGTTGTAGTCAGGGAAACATATTGTTGATGCATGGTTTTATTTGTAATTATGTTTGTGTTTTCAAGAAACTTTATTAAGCTAAGCATTTTGCTCTTGATGTTATGTTGACATATTTATTTGAGTACTGCACATACTTCAATGTGTGAGTTTGAGAATTTGGTCTTTTTTTCAGTTAACTGGAAAATTTAATGAAGTGTTCTCGGTAATATAAATTTGAAGAGAATTCAAACTTTACCTTTAAAGTACCAAGTATTGTGATTTATTAATTTTGGAAAGTGGCATGTCAACAATTTACGCTGTGTAGAGGATGCTAACCATGAATGTGACCCTTTCTTGGAGATTCAGGATCAGTAATCTTACTGTTCACACTCATGTCTCTTAGCTACAGAGAGGAGCTATTGTTACATTGAAACTGTACTAGTCTAGCCAGAACCCACTCTGATATTTACTTCTTGAAATAAGGTCATAATCATCTAATCTTTCCATGTTTGTTTCTTTTTGGTAGCAGTGCAATATGAATAGTATCTTGCTATTAAATTAATTTTAGCATCAAAGACTACAACTTGTAAATTGACATTTTTATCCTTAACAAGAGCTTAATTTTTTTCTGTCTTCATCATTGACCTTTGATGCATTCATAAAAACCGTTTGGGTTTCAGTAACAATTTTGACCATAAGATTTCATTACCAACTCAAGTCCCCCTGCCTCTTTGATTTTGGGGGTCATTCCTGTGTGCTTTCAAATGCTCCATTTGTAATATGGAGAAAGTGTTCATAAGTCTACTCCAAAATTAGTGGGCAAAGCCATCAACAGTGAATTGGCATATTGAAGTATTAAAGTGGCCTAAAACCCACTTTGGCTACAGAGTTGTTAGGTGATTTTAAAAGAGGGGCCTGACCTCTCAGGCTTCAGTTTCCCAGCCCTTGAAATAAAAGTTTGGACTTTTAGATTGCTTAGGTCTCATCCTCTTGAAAATTCACTGAGACCAAATCTTAAATATTGGGATATGATTTCATAATGCTGTGCACAAAAATGTTTGCATAACCTAAATGCTTAAATTTTCTATACTAATACTTTAATATGCTGAACTTCTGGGTAGCAGATATCATAGACTAACTGTAGTAACTTACAGAAACTCCTCCTTTCTGCATGAAGAATTTGATGTGCTAAGGGCCTACACAATAAGCGTATAAGGAAAGAAAGAATCATCATCCCTCTCCCCATTTAATCAGATATATACTTGCGTAGAGAGGAGTATTATGGAGCACTATGGAGTATACTTATGTACACTAAGTGTGTACTTAGATACTGAAGCTTGGACAAAAAGAATTTCTTCTTACTTCTCCTTTAATGAAATGGTTCTATCAAGATTTTCTCTTCAGTGCCACTCCATCCATCCATCCATCCATCCATCCATCCATCCATCCATCCATGATCCATGTCTCCAAGGATCTATGCATGCATGCATCCATCTAAACCATTTAACATGGACTAACCATCCATTATGTCAGTGAGATAGGGACTAGGTGTGACATTGGCATGATAATACCTACACCACCCTGCAGTTGGCTGTTATTACCTTGAGATCTGCAAATTGGGTTTAGCTAAGCTCATGAATACCTAAATCCATATATTGAACAGTTACAAGAGAGAGTTCTAGTGACGTTTGAAGATGTTTACATGACTATGTCTTTAGATTTAATGAAATGTTAATAGTATGCTACTTTTAATAATTGGTACAGAGTAGTGGAGAGAAAGATATATTTTCTGGAAAATTTATAATTCAAAATAATAATCTCTTATTTCTAAATAAGGGCAGGGATATTGGGAGAAAATACACCTCATTCTCCCTGGGCTTGGTTGTGCGTGTGGTGGTGGGGTGTTCACTAAGGGTATGCAGTGAAAAGACACTGTGTGTCATTAATGGGGCAGAAAGGGAGCAGAGGCTCCTGGCCATGCCACACCCAGTTACAGCCACACTGTAAACACGTCCCCAAAGCCCATGAGCTCTGCTCTTGTTTCTGAGTGAAGTATGCTACTCTTCATCAAGCATCCAGTCGCTCTTCTCTTTCTTGTCTGTTATACACCCTTATTGTGTATACTGAGGAAGCCACTTTGTTTTCGAATCTCAATTTTTCATTTGTGGCATTATTTTTATTGCTTATTATGCTTATTGGTGATTATAGTGCTGGGGATTAAACAACCAATTTAAAGTTCATGGCATGTAGTAATTTCTTAATCAATGGTCATTACTTTGGCATATTGTAATTATGTGTTTATATAATGGTGTCTCTCACACAAATATCTGCTTTTCAAGACAAGAGTAAAGTGTCATTCATCTTTGTGCTTCCAGTGTCTAGAATGGAGTTCTCAGCCAGGTGTAGTTTTGTAAGGATTCTTCTCATTCCCAAAGGAGAGTTTGCAATGTCTGGAGACCTCTGTGCTTGCTCCGTTTGGAGGGGAGCTATACTGGCATGTAGGGGATGCTGACAAACCTACCGTGTGCAGCCACATGCAGCAAATAATTACACAGCCCTGAATGTCATTAGTGTAGAGGTTGAAAATACTGATCTGGATTAGTCACAGGTGCACAAAAATCTTTCTCTATGAGTAACGCATGGGCACCTGGAAGAATAAATGGGTTGACATGTATGGGAGTATAGCTGGCCTCATAGAAGCTTAAAATTGTAGCAATTCTGATCATTTAATTCAATCTGAAATAAAACCAGAAGTACTTTATGAAGCAGACAAATCAGTTTTGGTTTATTGTATAGCTTTGGATAGATAGTCACAAGTTTAGCCATAGTCTATATTTGCAGATCAAAATGCAATAATAACAGCTAACATTCACTGAGTGTTTACAAAATGGCCATCGTTCTGTGAAGTGTTTTGCATGTGTTATGGCCCTTAAGCTTCACAATTAGTTTTGCTATCCTCAGTTTACAAGTGAGGAAACAGGCTCCAAATGACTATTTGTCCAAAGATAGTAAGTTAAGTAAGTGAAGGAAGCAAGATTTGAGTCTAAGCATTTCTGATTCCAATGCTTGTTTGTGTAACCATTACATTATTTCTTTCAGTAAATTAAAAGGGTCAGCTATACATAGCTATAACCCTGGTGTTATGCAATTTCAAGGATATTCATAATCACAGCCCAGTGGTAACTTGTAGATACAAGAGTTACCCTATAGTTGACTTTGAAAAATAACCAAATTTGAAGTTCTTTACATTGACACATTGCCTGAAGGTTCTTTCATATTGAACAATGTTTATAGATTTGGTTGTTATTGATTTGCTAAATCACTTTTACATGGAAAATTCTGAAATGAATTATTCTCCGATAATGTCAACATCTATTCTGATATTGTTTCACAGAATCCCAGCAAATCAGGTGTGGTGATTGGATAGAGACATATTTCACAGATCTATTGATTTTTTTCCTTCCTATCTTTTGTCCCAACTTTTATTCCTAGAAACTTGTTTACAAATATTAACTCCAAATCATTTCCTCTTTTGGAGTTAACACAGCCTCTGTAGAATTTCAATTTGGTTTACTCAGAAGGACTGCGGAGTCTGGCAAGCTTCCCAGGCCAACTTATTTATGGGGAAAAAGAGTGAAAATTACTGAAGGACTAGGGGACAATTGTGTCATTGCAGAGAGCTGAGAGGAATCTGTGGGTTAGCTGCTACAGAGCCCCTGAGAAGGCACTGACCTACAAAACCTGGTTGCATAACACCACTGTCACTTCATCTGTGAAAAAAATGAAATCTTGAAAACCTTTAGGTATCTTTGTTTAGGACATCAGCATCAAGCAGGTTGGCACTTGCGAGTCTGGCTCCTAATTTCCACCTCTGCTTAGTTTGTTCATCTCCTCTCCTGTCCATCTGTCTGTCTGTCTGTCCATCTGTGGGTCCAGGCATTGCCAGGCATCAGGTGTTGGAGTCCATCCCTCGGTCCTGAGCAGTGCATGTCCATCTATACCCATCTCCATGTTGTCACCTATGGCTCAGTTTCCCCCGCACACAATGAGATAACGTCTGCCTGCGAGAGTGGTCATGCCAGTGCAGCAAGCATGCAGGTACAGAGTGGAGGGCAATGTCTCGAGCAGACTAAGGGCTCAAGAAATTCTTATGATTAATGGAGGTGAAGTAGGGAAGATTCCAATTTCTTCCCATTAGAAGAACAGTAATAAAGAAAGGGAGTAGTTTCAGGGTAGGGGGAAGGAGGAGTGTTCATGGAACTTCATCATTCGTTACCTGCAGTTCCCTTTTCACCTTTCTCTCCTTTCCTGCCGTCTCTACCATCTCTTCCTGGAAGGCCAATCCGACCATGGTGCCCAGGGGAACCATTTGCTCCAGGCGGCCCTGGGGGTCCAGGTAAGCCAGGAATGCTGCAGATGTATCTGGGGGAGTAGTTGTCTCCTTTGGGCTGACTACCCCGAGGTTGTCCACTTGCACATATGGCAAAACTTGTAACATAGAGCAACACAAACATCTTTGGCTCTGGAAGAGAAACACACAGATATAAATGCACCCTTTTAAGGTGGGGGTTTCACATGGCTGATTCAGTAAGAACTCGAGAATGAGCATTTGCAACAACTCTCTCCAGTGTTTGCCTTTCCATGCATGTAAAATCAGTTTTCCCTCATCAACCCCTTGAAAATTGTTAACACTTATTGACAGTTCTCGGTGCCCGACACGGGGTGGTGTAGATGAAGGATTGATCAGAAAAATTTCAAAACAAATCACTGCGTTGCATTTATTCTACAAAAATCAATGACAGACATTGAAAAATTACCCTTTCTTTTTGCAAAAGTAATGCATTAAAAAATAGAGTTGTAAGTGAATAAGATAAATAGTGCTGTTCTTACCACTCAGAGATAATTACTCTTTATACCCTAATATTTACGTCTTTCTGCACTTTTTCTTTTATGCTATGCAGAAAAGTGATATTGAATCATTTCTATAATCCTTTCACACTTATTTCACTTAACATGTGTTAAGAACATCTTCCTATGTTAAAAATTATTCATGACATTAAGAATTCTTGCTTTTGTCATTACTGTGTTTTATGCATATCATCCTCCATTATAGACATTTGCTTCCAGTGTTCTGCCAATATAACCGCGGCTACCTAATCTTTGCATGCATCTGTGATTGTTTTCTTTGAATTTACGGGCTCTTTAAAGCAGAAGAAAGAAGAAGCATTTCAGGAAAACCATGATTTTCACTTGGTAATCATGTGTAATGCCAATTAGTGTTAATTGGAGTATTGTGCATGTCCTGAGGGGAGTCTCAAACTTTAATTTAAAATCTGCAGGATATAATGCCATGGTGTCCCACTAAGTCATTAGCACAGGGGGTCAATTAAAGAGCTGTGTGAAACTAAGTCATGCAGCGAGCCTCGTGGTTGGAGCGAAGGGGGCCCTGGGTCTCCTTGGCTGTAATCTAATAGGACTTGGGCTTCCCTCCATAAAGCCTGGCAGCTGCACGTGATGCATCATGTATTAGCCCGGCATCCGTGCTCCACTGAGGGTGGAGGAGGGTGGCATCGACTAAAGATTCCTGTTTTTTAGGATAAGCAATGTCTTGCATGGGAAAATATACACAGGTGGTTTGGGGTTGTATAATGGAGTCATTTTTGTTTTAAAAAGAAATCTGTATAATGCTTGATCTAGGCTATTCTCCCAAAGGGTATAATCATAAAACACAGAAAAAGCAGTCAGATAGTTCCTGTCTTTCTTTTTTGATGGCTACCTCATAAAATTAACCAGGTACAATGTACTATTTTTAGGGTACCTGTGGGAAATTGCAACATTTTGAAATTTGACCTAGAAACTTGCCAGAGCATAGGAAGGACAAACTGAGAGAAACACGGTATGTCTATGAGATTCTGAAATAAACCTCATTCACAGAAATTTATTAGTGAGAAACCAAAGCAACTTATTTAAACAGGGGCTTTCTATTCTCAACCAAATCTTGGTGTTACCAGTTCTCCACACACACACAAAAAAGACATCATTGCATCGCCACGTTTTGCTGCTCCACTTGTCATCATCTATGTTTTACTACTATAATGAAATACTTGAGGCTGGGTACTAATGGAGAAAAGTGGCTTATTCAGCTCACTGTTTTGCATGATGAAAGTTCAAACCACATAGTACTGGCTTTGCTCAGGGCCCATGTGGCTCATAACTTTGTGGCAGATGGCTTCATGATGAAAATGTTGAGAGAGAGAGAGAGGTCACAGAGCAAGTTAGAGAGAGGGGGCATGTCCTGTCTTGTGGCTTCCCATTAGGCCCCACCCCCTTAGTATCCCACCACTGCCACAACTGGGGACCCAGTTCACAACACACAAGCCTTCGGGGCTTAAACTACATCCAAGCTATGGGAAGCACAAGCCCCAAATTACTGATCCTGCTGCTCAAATGTGATTAAAGCACGCTCTGACACGCCCTGAGAGCCTGATAAAGATACCAGCTGTTTGAGCCTTGGAGAAAGAAAATGGAAAGAACTTTTCATACACACTCCTTTCTGACTTTAACATGCATAGATTAAATCACCAATTTCCCTCTCTTGTGGAAAACTGAGGAGGGGAAGGAGCTCATCAAGAGGCTTTCACCTACATGTGTAATACAAGGTTCGAGGCCAAGACCAGCACATGGTGCTGATAGGGGCTAGAAGCTGTCTAGAGAGGAGGTACTTGGGCAGTGTCATCTCAGACACTAGCAGAGGTGGGAAAACACAATGATGCCAATGGAAGGGGACCGACAGGGAAGAAGAGTGGAGTAAGGATCTACTTGATGAAGAACAGAGGAAGCAGAAGTTTAAAAGGTGGACTCGGAAGAAAGGATACTTAACATTGTCAACAACCAGGCAACAGGGGGCCCCAAGGAGGAATCAATTAAGGCAATGGACATGGAGTTGTCACTGAATGAGTGGATTGGTTTTGCTGATACATGCACTGAAATATTGTCTATACAGAAGACAAAATGCTGTAAGTCTGTGAATCTTTGTCAGTGTGGAGCGCTGTGTGTGGTACCTGATGTACAAGGAGGGTGTGGTGAATGACACCAGGAACTCCTGGGACTCGGTTCATTCTGAAGACCAGGGACTGTGGGTGGGAATGGAGACCCACAGTGGCTCTTCTCTGCAACAGTTCTCTCTTCCCCTTAAGAGCCTGATACTTCCTGTCACATGGCACATGTCTGTGAGGTCCCCTACTCCCCTGACTTCATCTGTCTTCCAGCTCCCTCTCCTACTTTCAGCCCCTCTGGATTCCTTGGAGGTCCTTTGTATGTTCCTCCTCTCTGTCTAAAACCCTCATTTTTTTTTTTTTTTTTGGTACCGGAGATCGAACTCAGGACCTTGGGCTTGCAAGGCAGGCGGCAGAACCACTGAGCTAAATCCCTGGCCCCTAAAACCCTTTTTGTTATGTCTTTCTAAACAACTGAATATTTTTTATTAGTGCACAATGAGCACACCCATTGTGGGGAGTTGGTACATGTACAGGACATCTCAATTCTTTCTGCCCTGTCTTCATGGATTACTTCCTCACCTGCCTGAAGTCTGTGCCCAAATGCCATCATGCCACTGAGGTCAACTTTTTCACCTTATTTAGCATTGGAAGGTGCTTCCTTTTACCCCTGATCCTCTTTTGCCTGCCCTATGTTTTCTATTCCCCATTGTGCTAATCATCTCAAACTCACTAGGTTATCCCTGTCTTTATTTTATATTGCCCATTTCTGGCTGGTAGTGCATAAGGTCCATGTGGGTAAGAGTTTTTGTCTTAATTATCAATGGGCTCAACTGCTTATAACAACACTTAGTGCAAAAAGTCTGAAGCTGGGGAACAGAAGACCACTGGGGGGAAGGCGTGAGTTTTGTGGAAAAAACCCTGAGAAATTATGGAATATGAGAATATTACAAGAGAAAGGGAGAAAAGAAGATTTAAAGAAAATTTCCTGGGGTCTAAGTGTCACTTTTGCAGTGTTTGAGAGGTACAAATAAAGGGTTTGAATTAATTTTATTTCATACAGCCTATGGTGTTTGAAAATATTTAAAATTTAATTTTTGTATAGATAATAATGTACACTTCATAAAAATTTGAAAGAACGAAGAACATGGAATGTGAAGTACATAAATCTCTTTACTTTCTCAAACTTCTAGCTACCAAATTGGCTCTCTGTGGATGAGCACTATTGCAGATTCTTGCGTGTGCGCTTTCCCCATTTGGCACCTGTACACAATAGTCACCACATTGCCTTTTCCCTTTGCTTCCGTATTAGTGTAGAGAATCACCCTTGGCATCCACGGAGGGCTGATTCCAAGACCCCTCTACCATCCACATCGACACCAAAATCCCAGGATGCCCAAGCCCCGATGTAAAACTGTAGCATGTGCACATCTTCCTGAATGCTTTAAATTATCTCTAGATTACTTATTGTATCTAATACAATGTAAATGCTATGTAAGTAGTTGTCACATTGTTTATTCAGATAATAAGAAAAAAGTGTGTACATCCTTAGTGCACAAGCTTTTGAATAGTTTTGATCAATGATTGATTGAATCCATAACAGTGGAAGCTGTGGGTAAGGAGTTAATCTTGGTAAATGAAGAGCTACTTCGCCCCTGTTATTTCAGTGGTTATACAATGCCCATTATATGCGTACATTGTATTTTGCCAACCTCTCCTAATGCACATTTATTCTTTTGCTACTATAAATAGTGGTGCAGTGAATACTTATATCTACCTATCTGCACATGTTGCAGGACGTGAACACTAAGTAATTTTTCCCAGTTTGTCTTTTTACTTTTTTCCATGTGTTTTAAAAATATTTTTGCTGAGAAAATGATTTTAAAATTCCAGTTCATTGTATTTAGAACACTTACATCCTTACACTTCTCTTTGAATTCTCTAGTTCTAATTCATCACTTTAAAAAATTTGATGTTAGAATTTTTCTGACTCCAAAAGGGATACAACTTTATATTTCCAACTCCTTCTCCTGAATAATCAACCCATCACTCACTGCCCACTGCTTTTCAGTGAACTCAGTTATTTGGAATGAACCATTTGGGAGACAACTTTAGAAGCTTTATAATAATTGGTAACAGCTTTATAAAGATATAATTTGCAAACCACAAAATTAGCCAAAGTACACAATTCAGTGCACACCATAGTCCACTTTAGAATCTTTTTAAAATCCCCAAGAGAAAACTTATATCCATTAGCAGTCACTTCTCATACAATATGCTTTAAAAGCATTAAATTGAACTATGCAAATTTATGTAGGTGTGTGCTGAAGTGTATTTCTTTCCATTTTTGTGCTTCTTTGGAGTTGGAAACCAAAGTTGTGGAAATTATGTTAATCTTGGGCAGGTCTGTCCTAGACAGGAATTGTAAATGACTTTCTTATTTTTCTGCAGAGATAACAAAGAAAGAAGTCATTGGCTTGCCAAACACATATTTAAAAAAGTTATACACACATGCATACATACATGT